GATCGTTGGGTTGAGGCAGAGGGGTTGGTCGAATCAGGAACCAGGGCTGGGGGGAGATGGATCCTGTCCCTTCTTAGCGGCGTGAAGTCTCAACTTCCTCTTGGTTCCAGGGTGCGGTCCTCTGCTGGTCTTCAATCTGCGTCCTCTTGTTGGCTCTTCTTCAGCGCCGCGGACAAAGAACAGTCTCTTCCCTTGTCTGCCGGTTTTAAACCCTCTCAGCCCATGGTTGTGTATGGGAGAAGTCTACATGACTTCTGAAACGTCCCCATGAGTCTGTGGAAAGCCCCAACCTTTCCCAACCATCATCTCCTTCATGACTCATTGCAGCAACTCTCTTCGGTACTTCCCTTTTTCTACTGGCCATCTGGCCATTGAGGCCATTTCTCATAACTTACTTTCCTTTTTGAGCCTCCCCAGCGCCCCCGCCTAGCTCAGTGTACTAATTGCGACACAGTCTGCTTCATTTCTCACGATCTCAAATCTTCAGTCATCTCCTTTCTGTAATTTATTATAAACCATAATCAATTTGTCATTTTATCAACTTATAACTCTCAGTATGATTCTCCATCACTTATCTAGTCTGTAACTCGAGCTGTTACCATTTCTAATCATCAGTAATCAACATACGACAATCAAGTTGTTACTGTTACTACAAATCAAGAATACAGAACATATATTTCAATTATACATTACAGACATTCCAACCATTACATATGTATGTATTTTCTATTTCTCTTCTTTAATCATCATTAAATCAATATGCAAGATTACTGTTATTTCTCAGGCCTTTGCTCCGTTTTCTGCGTGTACCTGGAAAGATCTCACCACCTTATGCCAGTTTTCACGACAATCAACTCAAAACACCTGGTGCAGATAGTCTCAAAATCTCACTTCCTCTTTCTTCTGTGCTTAAAATTCTTTCACCCCTGCAGTCTATATTTGTGACACAGTATCAGACACTTTTTACTCTTTACTCTTCAACCTCATACAGTAGTTAAATAAATGATTATATGTATTTTACTCATCTTTAAAACATAATAAATTCATTTTTCATTTAAAAACAAAGATTACATGTTTTTCAATCAACATTAAGTCATAATACTAGAAAATTCCTACAGAAATTTTAAGGGGCCTGCCAAGTGTGCCCATCACTTTTAACCCAGCACTTCAAATTTGCCCTGAAAAAGAGATATATGCAGGTCTGACATACTTAAACCACCACTAGCACACAGTAACTTTAAATATTGTCAGGTATATTATGATGATATGAGTCACCATTGAAATGCAATGGCTAAATCCCAGGTCAATGAAATTGAGTCCGAGACCGACGACTATAAGCTTCGCACATTTTGTTCTCTCTCACTCATGGTTCAAAATAAAAAAACATGAAGAAAGTTGGTAATTCTTTATTTTTAAAAATAAATTCAATTTTCATTCTAAGGATTTTACACTCAAAAATTCAGACAAGTAATAATTTTATGTAAGCAAAACATGAAAAGTCACAGGAAATATGTATTCTTCCCACAATGCGTTGTGAGATCTGATTCAGTGCTGTGACTACTCACTGCCTCTGTCTAGGACCCGTTGCTATGGTAATTAATTATCTGCACCTGGGCTGGCTCTCTCTGTCAGACAGGATGCTGGTTTCTATACTTGTGAGACACCCAGCGTCGGTCTCAGGGCCCTGACAAAAAACCATAAGCCCTAGGAAAATTTTGAAAACATTTTACGGGAGCAGGCATGTGTATCTATGTCATGACCAACTTTGAGATCAATAGGCCGATATTTGTGCCTGTGAGGGGACACTCACAGGCACAAAGGTCTGTGAGTGACACTCACAGTGTCCTGTGAGTGTCCAAAACTCCAAAACTCTTTGGAGTTTTGGAGGTCTGACTCCAAAACTCCAAAGAGTTTTGGAGTCAGACCTCCACTGTGCTGGTGCTGTGTGTGTGTTTCAGAGAGAAATCTTAGTGATTCTGTGAGACACTCAGCCTAAACTTCTCGTTTTTCTCAATTTATGTCGCCATTTTTACACAGAATCCCAATAAAAATAATAGCCCGGATGCCGGGATCAAGCCGCATGTTTTGATACCTTTCTTGTGGG